ATGTTCCTTGAGTCTTACATTTGACATAGACGTTAGGTGAAATGAACCACAATAATTAAATCATACAAACTTGTAAAACGTAAGTCAATGCATGCTCATTTCCTACGAGTAGCTTTATGTTACTCACCCCTACGATACTAGGGCATATTTCAGGTACAAGAATTAAAGTTGAGACTCCCATTATGCTTGGATAACTTGTAGACTTGAAGACTTCCATTTTTGTGAAGGCTAGCTCGGAATGCCAATTATAGTCTTTTTTGTCAAATGTGTATATTTGATTCCATTTATGTAATGTGCACATGAGTGCACTCCTTTCAATGTATTTGACATGTATAAGATGAGGCCGAAGGCCAATGACATGTATTTCTATTCTATGTACTTTTGACTTCATGAAATATTATGCAAATATTAAAAAAAAATGTTAAGTTTTTGTCTCACTATGTTTGCATCGGGTGTGGGAATTCCGTTTTGATTCTTCCGTAAGATCTCATTAATTATGCATGAAGTGTAGCCAAGGGCCAAACGGTAATTTCCAATCATTTGCTAATTTTGGTTTTCAAAATATCCATTTCAAATTCATTTTCGCCTTTTTGGCCGTTGGGGGGTCGAATTTTGACTCGACCATTTCTGGGAGTCGCAGACCATTCCCGCACGCTTAAAATCACTTATTACGTTTGCGTGTATATTCATTTTAGCCTAGAAGTGCATTTGTGGTCAAATGTATGTTTGGTGCAAATTCACATTTTTGCCGTTTTGAGCCTAAACTGAGCATAAGGGTATTTTAGGGTTTTCACATGAAAAATAAAGTTTTCTTTTGGCATGGTTGGCTAGAAAACATGATTTTGAGGGTAGTTTCTTCTTTGTGTTTTTTTCAAAAAGGCCCAAAAAGTCCTCAAAATCACATTTCAAACTCAAATTTCTGCTATGCTTTTAGCAGAACAAGTGCTCGAAGATGTCGCTCGAGCGCTCGAAGTTGGGCCAGAGTGTTTTGGCCCTTGGGTATGTGCCGTTCAAGAGCTCAAAGCCCTTGCTCGAGCGCTCGAGGTACTGTTCATATGTGTGTGTGTTTGTGTCTTGGTTCAGCACTGCACCTCCGACTTCAAACTATCATATCTTCTTCGTTTTAACTCTGAATTGGTCTGTTCTTAAGTCTAAATTGACCGTGTTGAAATAAGATTTCCAATGGTACCAATTAGACCTTCAGATTCTTCTTGTAGCTTAAGATATTCAAGTTTTAGTAAGGTAGTGTCTGTTTTTGGTTTGAACTGGGATAGGGTTTCCCTTCCTTCGACTTCAGAACTTGATATCTTTGTCATCCGGACTCCGAATCAGGTGATTCTTGAGTCTAAATTCATTTATTTTTTGTTGTCTTTCCAATGGTGTGCACGGTGGCACCCATTTCAGTGTGGAATGACCATTTTTCCCCTAGGTTCATTCTTATCCATTTTTGAAACATTGCTTCCGCATTTATTCTCTTTGGGTTCCGTGACCTCATTGAGGGTCACATTGGTGTCTTAGAGACGTATTGTATCTCTAGAGACCATTTTTATATCCTTTGCTTCCGTATTTTGGATCCGTTTCGGGTCATCACAGGACACACTGGGTTGAAAAATCCAGGGTCGTCACAGGCTGGGAACGTTTGTGGTCATGGTACTCCTTCATGTCTTTTGGAGAATTGGTAATCTTTTGGAGGAGGGCCATACCAAATATCCTTTTGATCCTGGTATTAGTAAGAGCTCCTTTGTTTACTGTTTTGCTCTATATTTTCTCCAATTCCTTTTTGCATCTATTTCTTTGTTGGTTGTCTGTTTTCTCTCATTCCCTCTAACTAAGATGTTTGCTAGTGGGGATGACGATCAGCCATCAAGCTCTCTTAAAATCAGTAATCTAGACCCGCTTTTCTTTGTTAAGTGTTCTATTACCTTGGCGGGTTTGCTTTTTTCCTTTTGTAGCAACACCAGTCTATCAGTTTCAGCCACGAACATGCTTTATCACTGCATCAATTCATCACTTGAATCCATGGTGGTGCTAGACGGCATCACTTCTGGTCTGTGGATGGGTACCTAGGAAAATAATGGTCCGGTAGAGCATCGGATTATTAACGGCGTTTTGGTTGCTAGTCTGGGTTGCTGTGGTTTCTCTGTTGTGAAAGATTCAACATTTAAGGATTAGTTAGTGACAACAATTCTTCCTACTTCTTGGTTGCCGGCAACTTAGGGTTCTGCTCGAAACCTACGTCATTTAATTATCAATCAGAATGACCCTTAAAAGTCAAAAGTCATGATGGTTCTGTTTCATTAGTGTGGTGGGCACGTAAATTTGGGGGTCTATATTGAAGCAGTGGACCCTATGGGTGGCTTATCTTGTAACCACCAAACCACGTAGGCAGTGCACAGATAGTTGTTTTACTGGTGCCTACAGACTTTGTGGATGTGGGCTTTGTTTTTCGTCAGACCCAATTTCTTGTCACTATTGTGGACTGTCCATCTGTCTTGTCATCTGACCTCGTGTTTGTTACGCTTTCTTTGCGTGTGGCCAAGATGGGAAAGATAGTATAGGCCTAGGTGAAGATCTTAATGGATGTTGGAGTGAGCAGAACCAAATGGGCCTTTTTGGTTATGGCTTAGCCCAATCAATGGTGGGTCTGTTCAATGGAACCGATGTTCAATTAGGTGCTATTTTAAGCCCATATTTGTGGCTTGCAATTAAGCATTACCAGATGACTATGGGTTTTATCTTTGGTTGGGCCGTAGATTGCTTGTATGGTTGTAGGATCTTTGTGATCGTATCTTGTGGTGGCTTTGTTTGTTGTCTATCCTATGCCTTTGTGTGTAAGGTTGTTTTGTTTGGTTATGCTTTGTAGATGTCGTGTGGCTTTTTCTTATTGCTAGGAAAAAAAAAAAATAGAAATTGCTAAGAGAGAGAAAAATTCGAGTAGTATAGAGAGGAGGCAGAGAAGGCTGTGAAGGCAGAGAAGGCTGAGAGTTTGAAGCTTGGATAATCCGGAGATGAATAATTATCTTTCAGTGTATAGCTTAGGGTGATTTTGCTTCAAATATTTTGTTTACTGTTATTTTGCTCAAATTGCATATATGTATTTTGTTCAAAAGCATATGTATATTTTATGAAGCTAATTTTCATGAAACCTCCCTAAAATTCTTATTATGGTTTTTCATACTGGAACTTCCCGTCTCACCACCTTCCAATTTCAAGTACAGAGGATGAATGTGGATTGTTAATTTCGGGCTTGGCTGGAGGAGTTGGCATTGTGGATTTATTTTAATTATTTGGAGATTTTTTTATATATACTAAGTTTTGTATAAATCAAGGGTATTTTTTTTTTTTTTTTATGATTCTAGGAGTATATTGATGTATTTGTAATTTGAAAAAATTGAGGAATTTTATTAGATTTTTCAAGTCGTTACACTTGTGCCTTATAATGAAAACATGCATCATCCTTCACAACATAATCATTGAAGATGAGTGCCATGCCAATGTTGGAAGATGGACTCCGCCACTGGAGGAGACAATCTCGATTCCCACTTTAATTCAAAATCCATCGGTTTTAGCGGCACACATCACATTTACTCTCGCCAAGTCCAAATTCGCAACAAAGAGACAAATATGTAGTTGAGAAAAGATTTAATTGAAATTTTGTGGAACCGCTTTGGTGAAGAAAATGTTTAATTTATGTTGCATTTAATTATTTTAAAATTGTTATAAAGTTTATGTAATGGAATATTTATTATGTAATATTTTATTTTGAAATAAATAATTAAATTGTTTTTTGATTAAATTATTTAGCCAGTATGTATGAAATTTTATAAACAATACAATATCTAATATCATTTGATTTATTAATTTATAGAGGTGAAAACAAAGGTTCAAATTTTTTTTTTTTCAATAAAAAAATCATATTTTAAAATAAATTTGAATTTGTTTGGGACAAAAAATAAAAAAAATTGTTTGGTTAGCCAATAAAGCCGTTAAAGCACTGTTTGGGTCAGCCAAACAGTGCCTAAAACGGCTATAATGTCAATAAAAACATTAAAATTTTACAAAAGGAAAAAAATAAAAAAAAATAAAAAAAAATAAAAGAAATCACTTTTTTTCAATTGTTTTAAACTTTTTTTTGCCCCAAAAAGCCTTTAAGGCACTGTTTGTGTCAGCCAAATAGTGCCTTAACGGCTCTTTGGTTCAATTATGTTGAGGGGAAAAAAAAAAAACCAAAATAACCCAAAAACCTGATTTTTGGGTAATATTTCAGCCAAACACGCCCTTCAAAACAGTAGCCTGGGCTAAGCTACAGTTAGTCGGGCCACAATTAAAAAAAAAAAAAAAATAGGCAAGCCCACATGGTAAGCCCGCAATTGCTAACAGGGTCTTTGGTGACCCATTTCCCGATCCAAATGGTGTGGCCCAATTTTGGTGACCCATAATGGAGCAGATTGGGTCCCCTGTTGGACCTGCTCTTAGGAGATTGAAATTGGAAATTGTGAAGAATCAACATCAAACACTGGTGAAGAAATGATGTGTAGTTTGCTATTGATTGTAAGTATCCAAAGTTTGCAAACCATACAAGAGTTCGAAGTGGTTAGTGGGTGGGTTCATTATTCGTAAAAACACTTTCGGAGAAATTGGAGCAGAAGGCTAAGGAGATGGAATCCCTGCAGTTTGCTCACTAACAAAAGGAAATGGGAAGACAGTTGAAGGTGTTAATGGTGATGGGACAAAGGCTAGAACAATGGAGCTTTCAAGAGACTAAACTTGATCTCTTGACCACAAATCACAATAAATGAAGGCCAATAATATACCATAACTTGAAGGCTTTGATTTCCCTCTATTTTGCTTGATTTTGAAAGAGAGACAAACTTCTATTTATTGACTACACCTTTAGTACGAATTTATTAACATTCATCTCCCCTCCCATGATTCATTTCTCCTAACATCATTCATCTCCCTAAACAACCATTATTCTAAATTCAAAAGTCACACAAAAATATACATTAACCATAATTAATTATGCATGTACGTAGGAAAACAAAAGAATCTAGATTAACATTCTAACAAATGGCAAGGCAGTTGTTCTAGAAGATAAAGAGAAGGGATTAAAGCTGCCGGTAGTGGCAGCGTCATCAACTGCTGGAATGGCAGAAACACACTTGATCTCATCATAATGTATCAATGGATGCAAACATTTTAGCTCATGCTTTCTGCCTTTCATTGGCCTAAAAATAATTATTCATTTATATATCATGATGAATGAACTACATATACCTATACATTCGCTCAGCAAAACATAAGAAGTTGGCGGATGTATCTTGCTGATTCTCCAGACAAAACAAGGCACAAGCAGCAGATCTCGATCTTCTCCTGTCGGTCATGCCAAGGATGATGATGATCTGAGTTGGATGTATCTTTGAGCCTCCCCAACACGACCCACATTGCTGAGAAGTCCAATAATGCTAGAGTAATGTTCTTCTGATGCTTTAATTTTATATTTTCGAGTCATTAAACTGAAGACTTTGCACGCCTCGTCTGCAAATCCAGCTCTCTCGCATATAGATAGAACCACTTTAAAAGTGAAATGGTTAGGAGAGAAACCATCAGATTTCATCTTTTCAAAAAGATTAATTGCATCTAGATACTGACCATTATTACCATAAGCCTCTATGATGGCAGTCCATGTCATTGATCCCTTTACAGGGATTGCGTCAAAAACCAACATTGCTTTATCAATTAGTCTACACATTCCATACATCTTCACAATCTCTGCAGAAACAAAAGGGATTGACCCTAAATCTTTCTTTAATATCTGTCCGTGTATCTCCTTCCCAAGCTTCAAAGCTCTGAGTACACTGCAAACACTCAACACCCTTGCTATGGCAACTGAGTCGGGCCTGTGTTTCGACACCTGCATCGACCTAAACACACAAAGTGCTTCATGTAGACACCCACTTCCCATGTACGAGTCAATCATGGCCGTCCATGAGATTACATTCCTCTTCTCCATAGCATCAAAGAGTTTAAAAGAATACCCTAAGGAACCACATTTTGAGTACATCATCATTAAGGAAGTAGTGATGGATACATTGGGGAGGAAACCATTCTTCACAACATAACCATGAATCTCCTTTCCTTGCTTCAAAGCCCTCAGCTGTGCACAAACCGGAACAATTGTGGCGACTGTGACAACGTCAGGTTTGAACCCTTCTTGCTGCATCCAAACAATTGATTTCAAAGCTTGCTCGAGCCTCCCATTTGAGATGTAACCGGACATCAAAGCAGTCCAAGAAATAGCATTCCTTTCCATAGATTCATAGAACACCTTTCTTCCTGAACCCATGTCCCCACACTTGCAATACATATCAATTAAACCAGACTGAATAAACAACTGCTTTGAGTAACTCTTTGTCTTGATTACATAAGCATGAACCTCCCGCCCAAGTTTTCGAGCCCATACTTCTCCAATCACAGGAAGAATTATAGTCAATATAACTGAATTCGGATATATCCCTTCCCTTCTCATCCACCTCACATACGCCAATGCTTCCTTTTGCAGCCTATTATGTGCAAAGCCCGCAATCATCGCTCCCCACACCACAATATCTCTCTCACTAATTTCTTCAAACATCTGGCGGGCAAGCTTGATTTTGCCACATTTAAAGTACAAGTCAATCAAACTCGTCCCAAGGATGGAGCTGCTCAACAACCCATTCTTCATCAAAAGGGCATGTGTCTTTAAACCTTGCCTAAGCGCCGAAGCCCCTGCAAAACTCTTGATCAAAGAAGAAAAAGTGTACACATTCGATTTCACGCCCAATTCCCGCATTTCTGAAAATGTACCCAGTACCTCTCGATATTTCCGCCCACCCAAAACCACATTGCCCCTAAGCAATGCATTCCATGGGTAGACACTTCTGCAAGGCATTTCATCGAACACCTGTCTGGCGTCGTCAATGGAACCACAAGACGAGTACATGTGGACAAGCTTGGTGCATAGAAACTCATTGTTTTCAAGCCCATTTATTCGAATATGAGCGTGAATTTGTTTTCCTTGTGTTAAAGATTTCAATCGAACACAAGCAGCGATGAGGGAAGAGAAAGTGGTGGGATTAACTGGGATACCTTGTTTGTCCAAGTAGTCTAAGATGATGAGAGCCTCCTGGAGTTTGTTTTGGTTAGCAAATCTTTGTATATCTTTACAAATGACATGTGGGTTCTTGGTGTGAAGTGGTAAAGACATCGGGAATGCATTTTCTTCTGCGAATCTTCTTCCCCTTATCCTGAATGTTTGCTTAACATGCTTAGTTTTCTTGAGTGTTTGAGGGGACAGAATTGATGATTGGATTATGAGATGGTGGTGGTTGTGAAGGAGCAAAGATTGAGGTAGTTTTACTTTTATCTGTGTATTGGCCGGAAATGGGTTGCTCAGACCTTCCATTGGAGTAGAAGGAGGGTGCGTGCCATCAACTTCCACTTCGTGTGTGGATAACATAATAACAGGAGTACTTGTGGAGCTGACATTATTTAATTATTTAAAGAATGCAACAATATTGGTCACCACCCCTTTTTTATTATTATTATTATTATTATTTTTTTTTACCGGAACCCTCATAGCTAGGGCCCATTCGGGACCCACCTTAGGTTACAAATATGAGAATACTGTCAACGGCCCCACACCTCAGCACCAATTTTAGTCAGGAAATATAATGAGAATGGACGGGTTCGAACCTGGGACATATGACACCCCAGGCTGTTGCCTTACCAACTCTACCAAGCCCCTGGGGGCGTCACCACCTTTTTTCGCTAACGTGTTTTTGTTATCATTTGAATGATATCAAAGTACTTGTAAATAATAAAAAATATTTTTTTTGCTTTTGCACTGTAGTTATTGTTTATCAAACTAAAAAATAAAAGAAAAGAAAAAAGAAAAAACTCAAATGATATTTTTAATCAACCATTTAATATTTTAAACTTGAAACACTTTTTTATTATATTTATTTTCATATTTTTGTTTCTAAAAATCTAATAACTAATATACTTTATCAAATAAATTTTTAAATAGCATTTAACACACTTCTAATCATAAATATCCCCCCCTCCCTGTAACGACCCAGATTTCTCAACCCGATGCGTTAGTGATGAACCGGAAGTTGACCCGATAACGAACACGAAATGCAGAAGCGAAAGAAGTCAAATGACCTTAAGAGATGTACGTCATCCCTAAGGCCCCAAAATGACTCTCCATGAAGCCACGGAACTCAAATGAGCCAAGCAAATGAAGCAAGAATGCCTAACCCGAAAAGAGATGAACTAAGGGTAAAATGGTCATTTCTCACTGAAAATGGTGCCACCGTGCACACCATTGGAAGGACAACGAAAAATGAACAAAATTAGACTCAAGAATCGTCTGATTCTGAGTCCGAGCAGAAAAGATATGAAATTCCAACACCCGATGCGAAAGTTATGAAGTAATGACTCAACATTTTCCAATATTTTCATAATAAACTTTGAAAACAAAAGTGCATAGAAAACGAGATACATGTTATTGGCCTCCGGCCTCATCTCATACATGTTAAATATATTGAAAAGAGTGCACTTACGTATACTTTAGATATACGAATCAACGAATACAAGTTTAAACAAATAGGGCTACAAAGAGGCATCTTATGCTAACACTTGCATAAAATAAAAACATAGAAACTGTAAGCCATCTAAGGAGCAATGGAATCTTCAAATCCTGAGTCCTGTACCTGAAATATGCCCCAGTATCGTAGGGGTGAGTAACATAAAGCTACTCGTAAGAGATGAGCATGCATCGACCTAGCATTTTACAATTTTATTACCTTATAGTGAAACATGTTAAAGGGGCTCATGCCACCTAACGTCTATATCAAGATGAGACCCAGGGAGCATCCTAAGCTACCTAGATCATTTATATCATAATCACATTGTTCATGCAATTCAAACAACATGGAAACATGTTATATAAGGCAACAAGATATAGATTCTCAAAGTCTTCAACTTGAAATCCAAAATACGAAAACAACAAGGGTGGGTCATGCCACCTAACGTCTATGTTCAAAATGAATCTATAAGGTCATTCTTAAACTACATTTGAACATAAAAACACAAATTATGATATCGATGCAATTTAACCAACAATGGAACTTCCAAAACAACGCATGAAACATGTTTTCACAAAGCTACATCTTAAGCTCAAAATAGGAAATCAAATAAGGAACAACAAGTTACGATATCATCTAGTTATCAACTTGAAATGAAATTCGAAATCAAACAAAGTGGATACTCGGGCGTCACACCGGATCAGACCGACAACATAGTTACTTTAAGGTTACTAGCCCATGGGTAACCTCCCTATGTGCGCACTAGACTGTATAGAGGGACAATCCCCGTACTAGAACCAAGTCCTAGCCGTAGCCAAACAACGACATCCCCAAGTTTTCAAAATCAACAAATTGTGCAACAACGTATATATATCAACATGTATATACAAGATATCAACTATTTACCAAGCACAATCCAAATTTTGGAAACTTATATAATACAATTTCAAAATTCATAACTACTGTGGCATGTAAGATGTCAAATACAAAGTGTGCAATTCCTTACACATAGCAACAATATATTCAATAAGGAAAAACATATTCTCATGAATATAAAAGTAACAACTATGTTATCCAATGCTCAAAAGTAATCAAGTGAACATACATCAAATCCAAATCTATGATTTAAATATAGAAACAACTTCCAAAATGCAATTAAATCCATGGAGTAATAAAGTAGAATTTAATTAAATATAAATAATTAAATTCTCTAAATTCCAAGTTAATCCAAATAACCTCAATTTAATATATATTGAAAGACATGTCATGGTCATCATATATATAATATCAAATGACAAGTTAAGTGGTTAAAACACTTAAAACAAAATTAATCAAGCTAATTAATTAATTTCCTCTAGATTTTTAAACAATTCCGAATGCCCTCAATTTAATCTATGTTAGAGAACATACCAAGGCCTATTATAATACCACATTACAACTTGATTTAATGCTTGATACAACCATGTGAATTAAACTTTCACTAAAGATAAATATTAAATAAAAGTTGTAATTCTTAATCAAATGATCCAAATTTAATATATGTTAACCAACATATCTAAGCATAATTTCCTAGCATGTTACAATTCAAATCAAAGTTATATATCATCATAAATGTTAAATCTTATACAAAGAAATAAAAATTACTAACTTTCTAGATTTGATACAAGGCATACATATATGTTGTATAATCATGGCAAACACACAATACAACACACAAATAATCCTAAAACATTCCCTACCTCAATTGGAATGAAAATCCCAATTACCACCAAAATGAAATCGCCCCAAATTTTCGGTCCGCAAAATAGATTTTTCAGCTTGCTACCTTCAACTTGTAAAATTCATAAAAAATTCAATTCTAACCCAAATTGAATGAATCCAAAGCCCAATGAAAGCTTAAACACTTTAATTTGATAATATCAATTTAGTTTAACAAAATATTTTCCCAATTGAAACAGTTTTGAACCACAACTTTGAAACAAATTTTGCCCAGAAAACACATTTTCAGCCTGTAGCTTCCAACTTTGAAAATTCGTGAAAAATTCATTTGACATTCAAATTGGGAAACCTAATTTATTTTGGAAGTAAACATATGAGAGTGTAAAACTGAAAATTTAAGCCATGATCCAATGTCAAAAGGTTAGTGAAATAAATCATCTAAAAATATGTTTTCCAGCTGCAATAAAAACATGGACAGCAGATAGTTTTGGATTTTTAAAAAAAATTAGAAATGCTCTAAAATCGTGAAAATTTTTTGAGTAGTGTAAAACCCATGGGGGAAGTTTCAGTAAAAATTTCAAGGCAATTGAAGCACCAAAGCTCTATATAAAAATTCATTTCCGGACCAAAAAGGAAAAGCTTCAAATTTCCAACAACTAGCTTGCAATTTCAAAAATTCATAACTAATTCATTTTAAACCCAAATTACATGAAACCAAAACTAAATGAAAGCTAATTGAGTATATTTTCATATTCTATATTTAATTTGACAAGATTAATTTCAAGTTAAAGCAGTTTAAGGGCAAAATACAAGTCCTTCTCTTCCATGCATATAAAATACTCAATAATGACATAAAAATACTTCAAAATAATAGATCAATACCTCACTAGAGAATTGAATCTCTAGATACCAAAGTAAAACTAGGAGTTAGGCTAGATCCTTCAAGGGTTTTGAAGAGGAGGATGAGGGGAACAAAAAGTATTCTAAGTTCAAAGTTCTAAGGTGAGTGAAAAGACACCAAAAATGAAGTCAAAGCTACTAGTCAAGCTTTTCTCCAATGGTGGCTTCCTTAGGGTTCTTGAGAGGAAAGTGATGAATGAATTAAAATGTGTAAACCCTAAGCTAAATTGGTGGGCTTCTCCACTCACTAGGTGCTCTTGCACTACCTCTCATACACACACTAATGCAAGACTAAAGGTGAGTCCTACACTTGTCATGAATCCAAGTAAGCTTCCAAGATTAAATATTAACCCTACACTTGTCAACCATCCATGCCAACAAGTAGACCAATCCTAGGACAACAAGTGGGTGAATCTCCACCCTCCATGTGTCATGAGATTAAGCCTCCAAGTGGTTCCACCACAAAATCAACAAGTGGCACCATAAGAATATGACACTTGTCACATTTTTCGGAAATTGCAAAAAGGTCCTTTTTGAAAATATCTTCCAATTTAATTTGTAAAATGGTCCCTAAGACAAAAAATAATTACTTTACTTAATTACCCAAAAACCCCTCAAGTTATGGATAATTACAAAAAGTCTTGTTTTTATGCCTTTTATAAAGAAAGTAAGCATTTAATATGCATTTCTACCAAAGTAAAAATGTAGATGTCATGAAATTTAAATATCATGGACGTATGCCAAGCCGGAATCAAATCCGAGCACAAAAAGTGAGGTTAAGTAAGGCAAAATGAAAAACGACTAAAGGACGAAAAAGGGAAAAGACGAAAAAATGAATAGTGTCAAAAAAACAAAAAATGTGGAAATGACTCGGTACTCAAATGAAGTTGTCAATCCAAAGGAAAGAGTCTCAGAAACCATTTCCGAGCACTCGAGACGACACTAAGAGGCGGGAAATCGAACCCGAAAAGGAAAACAAAATGAAAAAAAAAAATTATCCGCAAAATTTGAAGAAAGGGAAAGAAATGAAAATGACTAGGTCATTACACTACCCTCCCCTCCCTTCCCCAAATGCAAATGGTCCAATGTCGAATGAAGGCGATTTGGTGTTATATACGTATCAAATAAATTTTTAAATAGCATTTAACACACTTCTAATCATAAATATCCCCCCCCCCCCTCCCCAAATGCAAATGGTCCAATGTCGAATGAAGGCGATTTGGTAATTCTTGATTGGTAGCTTTTGTTTTACTATGGTTTCATGTTACGGGAT